TGCATATGATGAAAGTGAGCATTGGGCATCGCATCTTGCCATTAATCCTGTAACCGGAAAACCATAGTTTTTTTTAAATGATTCAACATATGTTTTCAAGAAGTTAAGGAATAATGTTTCTAAAAGTCACACTGGTAGTAATGGAGGCAAAAGTGTAAGAGAAATAATGTTTAATAGATGGGAAATTAGCTGGTGACACTTTCAAGGAGTATATCATCATACAACGAAACATATGACGGCAAAGGCTACTAAATTGACTAAGCGACATATATAGCTTACTTCTTGGAGCAAAATAAGAGTAGACCTTGCAGAGCATATATTATTATTCGATGTTAAAAAAGCAATGGCAAACATATTAGAGTTAAGCTGCATTTCCCAAGGCACTCAAGTATGTAATCAAAATTTTTATTTAAACCAGAATTTTTTTTTTTAATTCAATAAATATTTATACTTTGGTTCAAAATGACCCAATTTTTTAATTGATTTAAAAAATTTAATACGCTGCATTTTCATTAGTTATTTATTCACTATGCATGTATGTTTCGAGACCTTACACATAGCCGAATAAGTATTTCTTCATTTAATGATCCACGTTTGAACACTTTGAAAGAAATAAAACAATGGTTTATTCAAGGCGATAAACAAAAAAAAAACTCAAGTCAATAGTTTTCCGCACAATGCCAATTCGATTTAATTTTATCTATTAATGGATTTCTTGGAATCGTAGAGTATGTTCTTAATAATTACTCAGGTGCTGTAATTCAACTAAGAAGAGTCTCTCAGGATATGCTTGAGGGCTTATTTGGAACAATTAGAGAAATGGGCAGTGACTCTTCTATACAAACGCTTTAATCCTATGGTTATGCAATAAACAAATTAACAATTACAATGCAAATGACATCTGAAATAAAAAGCCTGAATTATAGTTCAGCTGACAATTCAGGTTGCGTGCTTGCTGATTTGAAATGAAGGTAATTTGAGTGCTGCCAAGGGAAAACCTGTCGTAGGAGTTTCAATTATATTTTGTGTACAGTTAGCTGTCTACGGAAAATTTATTATTTTGATAAATTTTCCTATAGATAGCTAACTGTATACAAAATATAATTGAAACTCCTACGACAGTTTTTTCTTTGGTGACACCCATTTTGTTAACTAATTTATTAATGATTTATTTATTTGATTGATTCATTTATCTTTTTTTTTTTAGTGATTACTGGAAAAGTCTACGATCAAAGTGCAAAATGTAAAAACATACGATCATTATAAAGTTCAGATTGAAACGCTTTCTGATTTTAGCCGTCAAATATTTCAAGAGATTCTTAATGACGATTTGATAATGGGACGAATTCAACTGCCATTAACTTCTAATAATGAACATATTAAAACAGAAAATATGACTATTAATGACTTGCAATTTGAAAGAGCACGACTAATTGAATATTTGTTATATCAGGTTGATGTGGAAGATCTTTTAATGACTTGGTCAAAAAATATACATCAGATGGCATTGGATTCTGTTCCATTAAAAAAAAATATCCAATAGCTTATAACATGGTCAACAAATCTGAAAAGTCGATTAAATAATTACAAATATGCTGGTGATTGGTTTAAAGACTTTCAATTGTTAGTCCCAAACAATATTAATGTAGAAACCCAGTGATTAGTAGCTTATATTTTACTCGAAAAGACTATAAGAAACACATTTAGACAAACACACAATGTACATCATGATCAGCTCTTTTCAAATTATGCAGAATCGTGAACTATACCAAAAAAAATTATTGACTTGGAAGCAGCCGAAGCATCGAAATTTCAATATATTATCGGATGAACTATCTATAAACTAACAAAAAGTAATAAATTAACATTAGCACATGATGAATTTGCAAAGATCAAGTCATATCTGAATGTTCTTAGTTCTGAACAGGTGGAATATATAAATGAAACTCGTTCAAAGACAACAACAGTTATTCCAGGGGCTGAGTTCATTCAATTCATGTATTATTTAGAGTCACTTATCCTTCAACTCTTTGAAAAACATATCGAATATGGGCCAAATATCCTAACTTATATTGATAAGAATCTTGTAAGCAATCAACCTTTAAAGAAGCAGTTTAATGGCCTTTTGCGAATAGCATATAAAAAACAAGAATTACTTTTAGAATTCACATGTAATCATATAGAATTATCAAAAGAAACAGAAGATTATTTGTTAATGCGTTTGATCAAGATTTACATGCGAAGCCGACAACGATCCTGGTGATAATTTAAAGGATACATTCCAGAAAAAAGTTCATCTAGTTTGCGAGAAAATGTCAAGGCAATGAATATGGATTTAAAAAATAATGTAAAAAAAGATAAAACTCCCAAAATAAAAGCTGTAACATTTAAGAAAGGAATGCTACTAGAAGATCTTCATTTGGCGCTTGGTCAACTTAGGATTTGGGCTCAAGGCAATGGAGCTAAAAGTACATTTGAGAAGGCATTCACATTATCTGACTTCAAGATTCTTGTTCAGGCATTTCAAAATGAATCGGTTGATATAAAAGGAAAAAAAAAATTAGTCTTTGTAGATCTACTGTTTAATCATTTACAAAACGGTTCAGAATTTAATGAAGAAACAATAAAGAAAGGTCAACCTTTTGTTTGAAACCAAAGTTATTCATTATTAGTATGTAAAATTGATCCTGCATATATTATTAGAGTATAATTATATATAATGAAATAAATTTTATTTAATTTATATTTAGGCGAAATAATTACAAAATATTTTTGAATCCTATTTGATTTGAATCTGCTGAAAATAGTTATTTGGCAATGTAATTTTGAAGCTTACTATGACAAAGGTTGCTATGACGAAGACATAGTCAAAACAAAAAAAAAAAAAAAAAAAGGAATTTAAATGATTTTTGTGAGCAGATCATGACTCATCGCATTTGTGTGGTATTTGAAGTTGCTAATCGGAGACTGCTATAGCAAAGTATATGATAAAGTGGTATATAAATTCATTGAAGGCAGTAACAATTCTCTCAGTTAATATAATCTTGGAATATGCATAAACATAGTTAAAGGCGATTTATTAGTTTTCAAATATATCAAATATAGAGAATTTTACGAAGTAGGAATATATAGTCAGGCAATTAGAAATCTAGTAAATGATTGCAAAAAAGCAAAAATAATAAATAAATTTGTCATAAATAGAATGACTTTAATGCTAATTTTCATACCGAATTTTTTTTAGACTTTATTTGATATTATTTATTTATATAGACGAATTCAATTCAAATTTATTTAAAAATTTCAAGAATCATATAATATATAAATATTCTAATAGTGAACAAAAGACGTAGATCTAACTTATATAAAGAATTTATCAAGGCTCACGTTATAAAAATAAATCAAGTAATCAAACTCGACTTAAATTTAGCATCGAAGTTATCAAACTCTTAAAATTTTTTTTTTAAAAAAAAAAATACAATTCGCTACCCTTATAATTTGCTTTTTCTAAAATATTTTTGTAGCCTAAAAAATTGATACATAAAAGTTTTAAAGAATTCTTACATATTTTAGCTAAATACGAAATGTGTTATTATAGATGTTACCTTCTAAAGTACAAGTCACTCTCGTTATAGTGAAGTTAGGCTCAAAACCAACCTATATAAAATCCTCTCGATATAGTGAATTTACTAATAAACCCTCGATATAGTGAATTTTTAAAAAATTTTTATTAATAGTTCCGATTACTTCACTATAACAAGAGTGACTTGTATTCTAATAATATATATAATACGTAAGATAAGATAGTTCGCTAAAAAGAAGGTTAATAAAGTCGGAATTTAACATTCGACAATCTCAATTGTTTAAGAAAATAATATTTAGTTTCTGTGAACACCAAACTGTACCTAATTTTTATATAAATCTGCCAGGCTACAGAAATAGTATGCGACAATAACATGTCTCGAATCAGTAGTTAACTAATATAACCAAAAGTTCTTTAGTATAGGATCGTAAATTTTTTATTATATATTTATATGATGGTTATACAAATAATTGTGAAACATTTTTAGTAGATATATTTTATAATAAGTTGACCCCCCCGTAATTTTACTAACCCCTAGGTACTATGTTATGTTTTGTTTCTTTTAAAATATTCAAGGCGAGATTTTAAAGATTAGTAAGAGATATAATAATGATGAGTTACTAGATAAGTTTTTAATAACGAAATTACTTATACTTAGCTTTTTTATATAGTTTATTTCTCATGACTAACAAAACTAATTTGCAGATTCTATTAAGCTAATTTTGGATTTGGCAATCTGTTCATTCACAAATTAATTAGTATGAGAGTATTGCTAGATCTTTGATTGCAATCGTGAAGAAAAGAGAATATATATTTCATAGATTTTTATTTTATATTAACATTTTTCTACCTATGCTAAAAAATAGATCACTCAATTGTGATCTCAAGAATAGCATTAGAAAAATAGTGGATGATTTGAGTCTCATGTATATGAGGGTCCAGTGAAAATCTTCTGAACTTATGCCACAGATAATTAGATTGCTATTGCTTTGAGTATCTGTTCTATTTCATCATCTGACCTTTCATGATTTTCCTTCTTGGCTATAAGGTAGTAGAGTGTATATAGTTCCTCAAGACTAACATTTAAATCTTCATCTGCATATCTATTTCGATAATTTTCTAGTCTTATAGTATATGTCTCTTCATTAGGAAACATCTTAACTGTGACTGTCTTAATATAGTCATTCAGATTCTTTTTAGCTCGCATTTTTTTTAGATAGTCTCCATAGTTTTTTGCAAGATTATCATATTTTTTGTCCTTTCACAATGCAGTTTTTATGACTTTGACTTGCGCAAGTTCTATATCCTTATGATCAACCATTTTTGTATTGTTTCTACTATAACGATAGAAAAACTTTAATTAATAAAATTATATTCTTTGATAATTTTTTACCTAGAAAAAATATTTGTTATAAAGTATCTATTCCTTGACACGAAGTCTAACTTTCATAGCCCTTTCTTCTGCTTCCTCAAGAGCTATTTCGGATGCTACCAGACATTTATATAGTCCAATTCGCCAATATCTATATGGGAGAGTTCGAATTCCATCAAGTAAGATCCAGCGCTTGTTATCATATGGATTCAGCCCTATCTTATTTATCCTCTCAAAATAAATTTGATGATTATAATTTCAGAGGCCATACATATCATGCTGAGTTAGTTTCTTATTCCTAAGACATTCTAGAAATTTATCATATTGAAGCTCCTTTTTAACCACGTATTTCTTAACACCCTTTGCCTTCTGAATGCCATGCTTCTTTTTAGGATCTTCAGAATCTGGGTCATCAGAAGTTTTAGGATCATGGCTTGCTAGAAGGACTGAATATATCTTTGGCTTTAAACATACTGATTCGCCTATTGGGCTTCCCTTTGTCTCATCCTTCATTAGAAATAAGTCTCCTGAATAGTTAAGATCAAAAATATCTGGTCTTTCTGCTCGATCTCTATATATGTCTTCAGTTTCTATTCATATGATGAACTAGTCTGTATTAGTATAAAGTAGACAGGCCTTATCTCAATAGCGAGGCTTTATGTAACCATACCAAAAGTTGAATATCATAGCCTTGCTAATATTGAGAATTGCTTGCCTTATATAGATTAGTTTGTTTAGAGTTACTGTACTTTTTAATATATAGACTGCTGTAATCCCCCCTTCGAATGCTTTAAAGCCTATATACAATGGTGAACTTACTAAACGCCTGATTTTTTTATCCTCTTCTGTTCAGAGTAATTCTACTCTCATATATTTATGAACATTTTTTATTTGTTTGCCAAATACTACAATATTCTTTGGCTTATAATATATGACCTCAAACTTATTCCTATTAGCTTTAGCAATTTTACGCTTGCGAATATTTTTCTCAATATAGTCTTTCATCCATGGAGACTGCTTAAACTTGAGAGTGCTATGAATCTTTGTAACCTTCATTCCAAACTTTATATATGTCTGGAGAGCTTAATAATGGACCACGTAGTTCTTTTTAGAATAAAGAGTCTAAACCAACTTCTCTTCTAATACATATTTTCCATTTCTAACTTCTTTATTATTTACTAATCTTTCATTATATAGGCTAGGCCAGTTTTCTGGTATTATTTGCTTTTCTGATGCTAAAGGATAATCTACAAAGTAATCGTGCAAGTGCACTGGAGCTTCTAGATCAAGTTCAAGCATATAGCCTATTTCTGCATCAGGCGCGATACTTTGGATATCTAGTACTTCCTCTGAACTCACTTTACCCAAAATTTCTGTAGGCATGTATTGGGTCATTGCTTCTGAATATAAGGCATTCATATCCTCATATAAGGTCTAAGACTTCAGTTTACTAGGATCATAGTCTGGACATTGCAGATTATTTGATTTGGCATATCGATAACTTGCCATTGTCATTCTTCCACGAATTCTATTTTCAACTATCAGATACTCATCCTTATCTGTCATGAGCTTAAGTTCTGCTCTGCTACTTTTGTACAAAGAATCATTAAATATTTCAGGTGCAGAGACATAATGAGATAGATCTAGGCTATCATCTTTGAGACACATTATAAATATCAGCATTTTTGCTTTGTGTAAATTCAGAAGTTTCAGACTTTATCCAAGGATCGAGTCCAGTCTCTTCTATAT